GGGGTCAAAACGAGTCCGCGATGCGGCATGTAAGTTACGGGAGGTTGAAAGGGGCCGAAATGCCGGTGAAAAGTTTTGCAGCCGGTATATACGACGCACATGCATGAAACAAGGGGAATGCCTCATGCGGCGTCCCGGCCCCGCTCGAGGCCGCCCTACCCGACGCCTCGCTCTTGCTGACGCGCTCGCTGCCGGCGAGGTCGATGAGGTGCAGGCAGCCGTGGCTGCGGGAGCCGGTGACGTGGCTGACGCCGTCGACAATCACCGTCAGGATCTGGTGGCTGTGGTTGGCGTGCATTGATTGGGGGAAAAGGTCAGGGAGCTGCGCCGCTGGCTGCTTATGGGGCTGGGGTTCAAGAACACATCCCCGTACAGGAGTCAGTTAGAAGTCGGTTTGGGTGGACCCTGCTCCCCTCAGTGCCGGCGCCCCAGTGTTTGGGCTCTGCGTCGCAGCTGCGCAGGTGCCGGCGCACCTGCGGCTGCTCCTATCGTTCATCTTGGTCTCGCTGGTGGCGCGGTTGCCGGCGCCGCGCGCCATCAGCGCGACCACGTCGTCCGAGTTGTCCACTTCCAGCTGCACAGGAGCATAAGAGTGTGTGTGTGTGTGTGTGTGTGTGTGTGTGTGTGTGTGTGTGTGTGTTTGTGTGTGAGTGCACGCGTGTATGCGTACGTGTATTTGTGGCACATGCCAACTTGTGCCTTGCAGAGGAGAACAATATCAACGCCCTGTCCACAACGGGGGCTTCAACGTGCAATGCTTGCAAGGAGCCCTCCTGCCGCCTTGCCCCCTTCCCGCACCCCCGCCCGCTCACCTGCACCGCGCCCGGCACGTTGCAGCCGCTGCCCTGGGTGCTGAGGATGTCCAGGCGCGGCGCGGAAGAGTAGGGGCTGGCGCCGTCGGCCAGGAGGTCCCTCAGGTTTTCGTTGTAGATCTCCAGCATCTGCACTGTGATGCGGTAGTCCACCTGCAGACGTGGCGATCGGCAGGATGGGCCAGCGGTCAAGGTGAAGAGAAAGGAAGTTCGGCAGCAGGGGCTAGCGGTCAAGATGATTAGATAGGCAGAGCCATGTGTGAGAGTGTGTGTGTGTATGTGTGTGTGTGAGTGTGTGTGCGCACGTGCACGTGTGTGAATGTATCTGAGTGAGTGTGGGTTTGAGGCTGGAGGAGGTGGGTGGTTGGGGGCGGCTCAGATTGATGCAGGTGGCTGGAGGGCAGGGGGTCAACTTCACGCATCAAGGGCCACAGATGAGTGCTGTGCAAGGGCTGATGCGGGTGGGTTGCTGTGGCAGCCAACTCAGCGCAATGCGGGCGCAGGGCAAGGGGCTGGGAGGGGCGCCGCGCAGTGGCAGCCGGTTGAGAGGGCACACCTCGTCCTGCCGCGCGTCGCGGATCGCGAACAGGTCGTCAAGGGCGCGGTAGTTGATGCCGCGCCCCTGTTCCTGGTGCACGTCGGTGCCGCTCATGGTGTGGGTCTTGCCGCTGCCGGTCTGGCCGTAGGCAAAGATGCACACGTTGTAGCCTGCGGGTTTCAAACAGCAGCCAAGCGGTCCGCGCCGTGGAAATGAGCGGTCCAGGGGCCAAACCCTCAAGAGGAGCTTGCAGCCAACGCCCTCCTGCGGGCCCCTGTAGCAGCGGCAGCTTGGTCTGCCCGGAACCACGGCCGCGCCCCAAGGCCGCGCCTACATGGTCAATATCGCTCCTAGGGCTGGCTGTGTCCACGTCCATCCTGACGCAAGGCTCACCGTCCAGCACCGAGCGAACGAGCGGCTGTGTGTCTTCGTACACCGCGTCCTGGCTGGCGCTTGGGTCAAACACGCGGTTGACCCGGAACTCCCGGTGCTCGTCCCTACGCGTGCCGAGCGGTCGCAGCGAGCGATGCCGAGGAGTTGCGGCAGGAAACAACGCCAGCGGAGGCGCGTCACTGTGCGCCATGGGGCATGCCGCCCTGCCTTTCGGAAACTTCTGCAAGCAGGACCAGCCAGCCAGCCAAATGCCTCGGCTGGCTGGTGGGCCAGGGGCTGTGTTGCCCCTTCCCACTGGCATCCGACTCAGCCACGAGGCAGCCAGCCTGCATGAACGCAACTCCATCACCCAACATACACCGTGCTTGTCGGGGCCCCTACTTGGTGGGGTTGTACACGGCGACCACATCCTCCTCTTCGCTCACGTCAACGCAGCTGCGGCTGCTGTCCCCGGTCGCGCCCGGCGGCCTGGGCGCCGGCGGCAGGGGGGAGGTCAGAGCGGGGCCGGGGCTGGTGCAGAGCGGCGCGGCCGGCTGTGCGTCTGTCCTGACCAGGTGGGTTGCAGGTTGTGCAGCAACTCGACGACTCCAAGCTCCTGCGGCCCCAGCCAGCCAGCCGCGCCCCCTGGTCAGGCCAGCCGTCCAGGACAGCTGCTGCCCCGCCTGCCCCGGCAGAGCCCCACCTGATGCGGCAGAACACGCGAATGCTGCCCTTGAGGTCCTGCACCTCGTTGTAGAGCGCGCGGTTCTGCTCCACCAGCGCCCTGTACCGCGCCGACAGGTCCTCCGACTCCTCGAGCTCGCGCCTATTGGGTTTGCGGGTTCGCGCGTGCATTTAGGGGACGGGGGCGGAGAATGGGTGTTGCGGGATGAGGCGACAGTCTGGGCTTCTTGCACATCACAAGCATCAGCCCGAACCTGCTTACGCCACGAGCGGAAGTATGCTTGCCCGTTCCACGCCACAAGCACAAGCCGTAGAGCCCAAGTCACACAGGACTGGCCCTGCAGCACGCACCACACAGCCTGCGCAACGAGCCCAAACCAAACAGCACAAGCCATACAGCGCAGCCCATGAGCTGAAGCCCACAGCCCACAGAGGAATGCACCATTCAGGCCTGCAATCCACCCCCTTGCGGCCGCCTGAATCAGCGCCCACCTCGCCTCCTCAAGCTTCGACTGCAGCGCTGCCTCCCGCCCCGCACGCGCACGCGCGCCCTCGTCCGCCCTGCCCTGCAGCGCAGCCAGCTCGGAGTCCCTCTGCTGCAGCGCCGCGTCGCGATCGCGCAGCGCCGCCCGCAGGGACTCCACTTCTGCTCGCTGGCAGGCGACGCTCGCGGTCCCAGCCTCGGCTGCACCTGCGGCGGCGGCTGCGTTGTCGCGGCGACGCTCGCCCTCCGCCAGCTGCAGGCGCTCCTGCGCACGGGCGCCAGGCCAAGCGTGCGTTCATGATCGACATGGGGGCTCAAGCGGGTGGCAGCAATCCGCGCGTCTGGTGTGCGGGCAGTTGCGAATGTGCTCTTGCGCCGCCTACCTGCATCTCGGACGCCTCGCGCAGCGCCATCGCGGCCCTGTCCCGCGCGCTGCTGAGCTCGTGGTCTTTCTGCAGCAGCCGCTTCTCGTACTCCTGGGTGATCTGGCCCAGCACCGAATCCACCACAGGGAACAGCACCTGCACGAGCGGGAGTGTGCGTATGGGGAGAGGCCTGCATGAGACAATGAGCGCGCGCTTGCACCGTGCCATGTTGCGGCTGAGCGAGCGGCGCCCTCGAGGATGAGGGTTCAGGGTTTAGGGGCCGGTGGCTCATCAACTTTGTTGTGTACCCGGGCCAACTGCACACACCTCCTGAGGGTCGAACGACGCCTGGCTGCCATAGCTGCTGCGCACGCCGCCCATCTGCCCCGCGTTCCCAGCCCCCATGTACATCCGCTCCCGGAGCATGCTGCTGCACTGCTGCATGAGGCGCGTCACGCCGGCCACGGACTGCCCGCCGGGGCCGCGCGGGGCCGACAGGCCCATGCCGCTCGCGCCCATGTAGGGGCCGGTCGGCATTGGCGGGAGCGCTGCAGAGGCAGACTGAATGAGGGGCAGGCCCGGACTGGGCTCATACGCCTGGGAGGGGTAGACGCCACTGTGACGAAGCGGCGCTGGCAGCGCGGGGCCGCCTCCTTTGGAGACGGCTCCCAACAGGCCAAGGTGCTGCTGCTGCTGCTGCTGCTGCTCTGCGTCAAACTGCTGCTGCTGCTGCTGCTGCTGCTGCTGATACAGCTGCTGCTGCTGCTGCTGCTGCTGTTGCTGCTGCTGCTGTTGCTGCTGCGCGAGAGACTGGTGGTGCACCAGTGATGGTTGGTGCATAGGTGGTTGGTACTGAGCGTAGCCGGATTGCTGGTGCTGGAGGCCGAGCTGGTACGCCTCTTCTGTGCTGAGGTGTGACACGGGCGAGGTTTGCTGCTGGTTTGAGTGCATGCCGCCAAGCGCAAGCGCGCGGTACTGCTCGGTGCTGGTGGAGCCTCCGTACACGCTCGTCGCGCGGCCCGAAGACATCGAGTTCGTCGTTGCCAGGCGCGCCGTGCTCGCGCCGCCTCCGCCCCCGCTGTTGCCGTCGCCACCGGGCGTGCCAAAATGCCCCGCCCCGCTGAGGCGGCGCGGCGTGGCAGTGGACGGCTCAACCGCCGGCTGCGCGGGCGCGGCCTCCATGGTGGCCGCCACCAGGCAGCTGCCGCGCGGGCTGCTGCCGCTGCCGCTGCCAGACCCGCTGCAGGGCGGCGATGCGGCGTCCTCATCAAGCAGCGCAGGCGTCGCCGGCGGCACGCCCGGCGAAACGCTGCGGGCCAACGGCGGTGCGGCTGCGACGGCCGCCGCCTCGGCGGCTGAGCGCAGGAAGAGCACGCACTCTGCAACGCTGGGGCGCTCTGCTTCCTCGCCCGCGTCCAAGTCGCTTGGAGTGAAGGCACACTCTGGCGGCAATAAGCGCTTGAGTGCAGCAAGGAAGCCGCCAATGTTGTGCTCTCGCTGGCGGATCAGGCCGCTGGGCCCTGGCTCGATGTCAGCGGCTAGCAGCACCTGCGCGGGTGAGGCGAAAAAAAGAGAGACATGATTGGCGCGGGTGTTGCGGTTGGAAGCAGAACGTTGTGGGGCTCTCACACCCTCACGTATCGCGGCCGATGGGCACTGCTGTCTGATTGCCGCCCTGCAGGAGCTCATCCGTCTACACCGCTGCTTTTCGTGCTTTTCGTGGGTAGGAGAGGGCGGTTTTACATTTGCACACACCTGCTGGACGGCGCCTGGGAACGCAGCGTTGGCCAGCTGGCAGAGCAGGACGCCGTCGCGGAGCGCGGTCCGAAACGCGCCGTCGCTCGCGTTAGGTACTGCACAACCGGCGACGGCCTGTATATACTCTGCGGCCATTCTGAGCTTCGTGGCGTGGACATCCCCGGGTTCCTTGAACGAAAGCCCCGCGGCAACATTGACAAACGCGGCGTCCATTGGGTGCGCTGCTCCCGCCACACAGGGGTCTGTCGTGGCCTCACGATCTTCAACTTCTCCCGGACTGACCCCGTCACTCAGGCCCACGCTGCGCGGTTGGCACAGGCGAGGGAACTGGCAAGGGGAGCCAGTCAGAGACCATGGGGGCTCATCCTGGGGCCTATGTAAGGTGACGACGCACTCAATAACGTTCCCCGAACATCGGGATGCTGTTGCAAACGCCAAATTCCCACAACCGGCTTTTGAAGGGCAAGGGGCAGCTGCCCTACGTGTTGCTGGTCTACAGCACCACGGAGGGTACTCATGGTGTGCGACAGCGATTCGGCAGAAGACAGGTGATTTTCTCGAGGTGCCCCCTGCATCCCGCGTGGATCCAAAGCTTGAATGATCGCAACTGATCTCGCTGCACAGCAGAGGTCACGGGTAGCGTCTACAGTGTGTCATTGCCTTTAAAAGGACTTGATTTTACAGGTTGCGGCCCTAATTCTAGTCGAGGGGGCGCAGGCCAGCAGATCGGTGTCCGGTGATCATGTCTGAAATAGGCACAATCCTGCGGACTTTTCTGGATGAGTACAAGAAGACACCTACCAAGGTCAAGGTGAGTTGCTTGGGACTTGGCCGAAGTGATCGCCTGAGGTCGCCGCGCTTCGCCTCCCCGCAGCGCCCCGATGTGAGTTGGTGCAGCGGCTAGGCCCTCTGTGCAGACTGGGCCTTACACTGTGTGATCAGTGCCTAGGGTGGCTCAGCGGACGCAATGCTTGCACGATACCTGCTGCGCAGACACTCGATGCTTTCATCGTGTATGCCTTGGCAACAGCGGCGGTGCAGGTGCGTGCCATAGCACAGCCGAATAATTTTGCAAACAGCGTCCTATGTATAGGTCCGAGCGGACTATGCACAGCTGGCACTGCATAGGGAACAAACAGCAACAGAACCCAGCAGGTAGCATGCCTAGTTGCCCCCCCCTAACGTGGTGTGCATCAGATGTGTCCTCAAGGCGAGGTCCAGGGAGGAAGCAGTCACCTTCGCACCCAACGCCGCGCCGTCATACAGAAACATCTGCATGTGGCCATGCGCAGGATGCCTGGCAGCGGGGTCGCCGCCTTGACTCTCATTGACGCGCCCCCATGCTCTGACAATCCCGTAAACCACCAGTTCACGTATATGCTGCTGGTGGGTACCTTTCCCTTCAACTCTTTCCTGGCGGGCATCCTCTGCTCCCTCTCATTCTTCTCCCTGACGGGTGAGCAGGCTAGAATGCGGCTTGAGGGAGCTTCCTGTGAAATGGCATCTGTATGGTCAATTTACCAGCCAGTGTGCTCGTGTCTTCTATCACGGTGCCACTGCGGACAACTGCAAATGTGCCTTGTTGCGGTGCCTCGCAACATTTGGGGCCTATTTTGTCACTTGAATCCGCATCACATGTTCCTCTGCATTCCTACGCATGTGCGGCGCAAAACAGTGTGCCTGAGGATGCAGATTGACCCAAGCAACAAGGACTTCACGGGCATCTCCCCAGAGCGAGCGTTTGCCGACTATGTGCTCGCAAATGCCATCCTGTTCTTGGCGGTGTTCAACTACATGGGTTGAGATCATTCAAACGGCTTTGTTGCTGACGACATATGACTGTAATAATGACTCCAGCTGCGACACCGATTGGGGCTTCCGTGTGCATCCACCCGCCAACCTCAACTTCAAACGTCTGCGTTCCCTGCCAATCACACAGATTGAATGCGCGTCTAATTACACGCACGGGTGTCTATGCACCAGGGAAGCTTGCACACAGGCCGTTTTGCCGGTAGATATGCGTGCGCCTGGCCATGAAAAAGAAGCTCTCTCAAATTAAGCAGGGGCACGTCCCAGGGGGGCCAACCCATGCGCAGGATTGCCAAACACAGTTGTGCGGTGAGCACAAAGCAGTGGCAGGGTGTGCGGAAACGCTACGTCTCTCAGTCAGGTGTAGGGTTGAGAAGTCGAATCGGCAAGGGCACAGACGGCGCAAGAGGAGAGCTGTGACCCGCTATGCCGCCTCACTTGCCAGGGTTTTTCTTCAAAACCACGCCCAGCACGCGGCTCATCTTTGAAAGCACCTGCGCATGACAAGGTTCAAAGGCAGTGCTCAGATAGCTGCAGCTACTCGCGCGTGCTTCTGAGTGTGGTGTAAATGTGCCTATCCCAGATAATCATGCGAGTGTGCAGCCTTCACACGTTCAGAATTGCTGCTGTGCACACCTGTGGGTTGGGGATGGCCTTGCCCGTCTCGTAGTCCTGGATGATTGACGGCTTCTCATTGATGAGCTGTAAAAGCAATTGGCGAAGAGGTGGCCAGGCAAAATGAGCGACTAAAATCAAGGTGCCTGAGAACTTTCGCACTTCCACCTGCCAAGCTGACTGCCAGCACAGCGGTGGGCTGCAGCGAAATGATGTGCTTGGGAGACTGACGCAGTACACGGTGGTGCCTCATGCAGGTGCACCTGCCATGATGGATCTGGTTGCCAGCCACCAAATCCGAGCAACTGCAAGCCGCTTTTACGGAACAATAGTGTGCACCAGCACAGGCTGGCTTCACTACAATGTGCATACCTGGCCCAGCTGCGCCTGCGTGAGTTTCTTGGCAGTGCGTGCCTGAATGATCTGCTTCTTCAGCTCTGTGGAGACCCGCTCGTCTGCGAGTGCAAAGCGCGAGGCACAACACCATCAGCAGGGCGGCAGAATGTCACTAGTGTGCTGCTTGTCATCTGCGCCTGGCCAGGACCTTGCATGCAAGATGCGCCGCGCGAGCTGCGCAAGCAGCGCAGCACGCTCACGGTGAAAGTCCTCCGTCTCCGCATCGAGCTTGTGTGCTGCCTTGCCGCTGGTGGTAGTAGGACCAGACTCTGTGATTAATAACATACGGGGCGCGCGAGTAAGCACAGGCGTTGGCGGCGAGTTCCATTAGACGGCTTCGCGCGGATTGCGTTGCACCCCACAAGCGCATGGGATCAGGCTCTCACGCTTGCGGCTGGTCTCCACTTCAGCACCCACTCGCCGGGCCTGCGTGCAAGGAATGGGCAGCGAGTGGAGCGTGAGGCCGCGGGCAGGAAAGAGTGGCGCGCAGCCCGCGTAAAACATCGTCCGGCCGGCGCGCCCGCGTTCAATTGCTCACCGCATTTACAGCTGCTTCGTCCTTGCGTGCTGCTGCGGATTGAGGCTTCTTGCGAAGGACCACCGGATCCCAGTCCTGTCCCGACGCCATACTGTCGATGTTAGGGATCAAAGAGGATAAAACACTAGGTATTGCAGGCCGGCTCGTAGGCGTCGAAGGTGAGTATGGGAGGGGATGCGGCGCTTTGTACCATGGCTCGCTGCGTGCGTGCCCGCCCCCGCCCGGCAGCTGCTCGCACTGGAGCCTGATGTCATGAGCTGGGGGCACACAAAAGATGTGCGAACGATGTGAGGTGTCACATTACGCTTGTTCCTTGCAGCCCCCATGCAACTTGGTGGACGGCAGGTGCAAGGTGATCACAGTATGGCACCCCCAGGCCGCTACGCTTGCGCTGATGCAAGCAAGCATGGTACCATATCAAGACCACAACCCTCTTCACTGCAAAATAATCAAACCGGTTTGCCCATGAGCCGTGAACCACGCCATGCTCAGCCTGCGAGGGCCGGCTACGACTGGCAGTTGAAAACGGTTGCCAGACGTGCAATTGGATAAGCGTAGCAGGCCTCCGCTTTTCGAACCCAAATGCAACTGCCTACCCAAACAGAGCAGCTGCACATGCATAAGTCAATCCTGCGCCCAGTACAACACTTGCTGGGGCCAACCCTACATACAAAGCAGCGTAGGAATGCACAAATACGTAGATACATCAGAAATATGGCTCAAGCAGGCTCTATGAAGATTCAAATTCTTGGCGGGTTGCATATTCTGGCAAACAAATAAAGCATTACTTACGTTCTCCAAAAAAGCCAGTAAAAAGTCACTAGTGCAATGGCACTCCAACGAAGGGCTGCCATGCACCAGCCGTACCGCCGTTGCGCTGCGGAGCACGGCCACCGCAGGCCAATGGATCCGCCGCCGCTGCTGGCTGCATCCTGCCGACTGGTGTCAAATCCAGGGATGCTGGGGTCCCTTGGCGCCTGCAAAGCGGACAAAGACAAGCAGTGTTGGAGCATGGCCGTCACATACAGGCACAGGCACAACGCTTGGGGCGCAGCAAGGCACTGGGTCATCGCCCTGGGCGGGGCTGCCTTGCCTGCGCACAATCTCCCCTTTGACAATCTGTGTGTGCCCCGGAATGTCCCTTGAGAGCAGCTTCCCATGGCTCAAGGCCATCAGACCAATGTGGATCGGCGAGCCCGCCTGCCCTGTGCTCCTGCTCACCCCAAGTCTTGCGACACAGCTATCGCAGCGGACAAGGCAGGTTTGGCTGCCATCAGCAGCAGCTTTGTAGGTCACAGGTATGTCGTAAGCCACCATGAAGCAGTCTGGAGGGGTAATGGTGTGCTGCTGCAGCCACGCGCTCGGCACTGCTGAGCCACAGCTCTCGCACATGATGGCATTGATCTGCATCCCTGCTATGAGATAGCACCTGTGGATACATGTGACACCGGAGACATGCGGAGGGGATGGCCTGGCCATTGAGATGAGGGCAGCATGCAGCAGCTGCAGCATCGGTGCGGCGCCTGCCCCCCGGCGTCATAACAGCGCAGCAGACCGCACGGGTCAGCATGTGGCGGCAACGTGACCACGGTACTCAATGTAAAGATTTGATAGAAATTCTACGACTAATTGAGTGAACGGTGTTTTGCTCACCCACGGGGGCCGGACCCGTAGATCTCGATAACGCACGGTTGCTACGCAGTTGTGGGCAGCACGCACATCGTATGATATCTTCCTAAGGACATATAGCGAGGTCCCGATGTAAGTCTATAGCATTCAACGCAAAGCAACCTGTATCATATCGTCTCCCGCCATAATTGATCTGGGGCATACCGGTAATAGTGCGATGTCTAGCCAGCAACAGGAGCAGACACGCGAAGGGGAAGCTCTAGAGCCCGCCCAGGATAAAATTGAGGACGACTTGGCACCGATCTTTGCCGCTTGCATCGAAAACCGCGCCAAGGAGGTCGGCGTGGCCGTCCTGGATCTGGCCGCGCTGCGACTGGAGCTCTCCCAGTTCATTGAGCCGGGCCATACCTACACGTCTACGCTGATGCACCTGGTGCCGCGTGCTCCGTGGCAGGTGGTAGTGGTGGGCTCTTCACACCACGAGGTGCGCTGTGCGCTTTGCCGGACGACGCACCAGTTGCGCAGCACCAGGCGCAAGATATGCGACGGGCGCAGCAGGTTGCCTGCAGCAAATTCGCAGGTTGCCGCGCCCTCTGACTTGGCACCCTGTTCCCGCGTGCTCAGGTGGCTGGCAGCAGCAGCCTCAATGCCGCGCTCCGCGCCGCGCCGCTGCGCCTCGCGCACGCGGCGCGCGGCGCGTTCGACGACACGCGCGGCTGCCTGGCGGTGTCTGAACTCGCGGCTGCGTCCTGCAAGCCCGACGCGCCCGCGGGTGCGGCGGCGAGCAAGTCCCACTACCTCGCCTTCGGCGCCGCGGGCGCCCTGCTCCAGCACCTGTCAGCCGGCGCCGGCGCCGTGATCGCGCCCGGCAGCTTGAGGGTCGAGTACGGGTCGGCGGCCCGCCACCACTTGCTGCTGGATCACAGCACCATCGCCGCGTTGGAGCTGATCCGCCCGCTGCACCACCCCGCGGCCGGCGGCGGCGGCGCCAGCGCCGCGCCGCGCGGGCCGCTCGCCCATGCGGCGGCCGCCGCAGCGGGCGGGGCCGGGGGTGGCCGCAGGGG